GCCCGGTTCTTCACCTGCTCTCCAGTACACTGATCCACAGAATGCCTCTTTGGTTTGAGGAGATAAAAGAGAAGATGTTGGGTCTTTGTAAATGACTGATCAGTTAGACCAGTTTCGAACTGAGTCTCCCTATCACAGGACAGCTAGGTTTAACAAAATTGAATGTGCTTCAAAATGTTCAAAACATTTCTTTAAATTGAGTCTTGGACACAAGAATTTGAACTTTTGTTCTCCCATTTAAATCTTTACACCACTGCATAGCTTTATATTATTCCGTTTTATGGTTGTTCCTGCTTTCATTCCCAACCATCCATCCATCCATCTCTTGTATTTAAAATCATTCAAGCTGACTCTCTACTGCAGGGTTCTTCAATCTTATCTGCAAAAGCCTTGTGTGGCTGCAAGTTTTCATTTCAGCCAAATTGGAGGCACACTTGATAGCTGATTGGAGACTAAGCTGAACTGATTAAACAAGTGAAATCAGGTGTGGCTCAAACCGGCTCTTTGTGGATAAGATTGAAGACCCCTGCTCTACTGTATGCATGCTGTGACGTATGTATAGTCTTAAATTTCACTGAGAAATCATACAGCAGAGCAGCAGGCTACGCAGAGCTGATTAATAGCTAAATGAGAAATGATAGGGGTTGACATCCATTTTTTCTGGTAATTGATTGGCCTGGAATCAACTCAACACATACTACACTGTGGATAATTTATTACATATAAATAATGATGCACTATTAGTAAATAACAAGAATACGTACTACTCCACGGTTCAGTTGCTGTCCTCCATCGTCATATGAATTGTCAGGTGGACCCTCTGATCATGTCAGAGAAACAAGAGTCACATTGCCTCCTTAAATCTGCTTGAAAACTGCAAGTACTAATGTGCCAAATTTACAGAAAATCAATAAATAAGACATGTTTAATACGAATTAAATGAACACAACTTAATCGTAATAATGATCACCTTTGCAAATAAAGCAGCATGTATCTGGAACAGAGATGGGTGAAGAGCATGTGATGGGCTGACAGGTTTTCAGTGCACAAAAAATATTTCCACCCTTGAAGGCCAAGAAAGAAAAGAGAGACAAGTGACAATATAGACGCACTAAAGTAAACTGATTTAATCCTCATTTTACTGTATTACATCCTGTATTACAGTAAGTATTATAAATCTTCTCTGCGTAAAGAGCTGTTGGAGCATCAAAATTTTGATTCCAGCTAGCAAAACTCTAAAGTACTGAAATCTACATTCAACAATTCAAATCTACAGCTCAACACGAGCTACAAACACGCATCCTAATAAGTTATAATTTCTATAGTAACAACTTACATAGGGACTTATGTGGTGGAAACTCCACATAAATGGATTTAAAAAAAAGCATATATAATTTTTGATATGGTGAATTTTTCTGTAAGGAGAGATTTATTTAACGTTTATGGAAGGAGCCTCCTGTGCTAGTGCTTTGGAACAGTCAGACTGTAAGGCTGTAATTGTAAGTTTCCCCCCGAGGAAAGTCTTGAGGACAGACAACTTTGCACTTCACGGTTTCTCAGTAATATGATAAGCTGCATTTTTTGTCTTATTAACTTAATAAGAGCGAGAGAGAAAAAGGAGGCTGCTGTGGGAATGAGTGTTTATAGCTGTTGAATAATGAAAATGATAATGAAAGTGATTACAAGAAAAAACTTGTTTGCATAAACTTGTTTATGTTACATTTAATGTTCCACAAGATTTATTCTTTAACGAATAAAAAATTTCAAATTGCCGTGGAATGAGAAGAATAAAATACTTTGCGAGGTGCTGTTATAGACAAAATATTCAACATCAGGGCAGTCACACAAATTCCACATTGCGTCGGACCGCCCCATCACTTCTTTCCTATAACATTATTATTATTATTTTAATTACATTAATATTATAGGATTAGTTTCCTATAACAGCACAGAATGGTTTGTTCTTCACATATTGCATCAAAAACTTAAAAAAAAAAAAAATAACACCACAGGTATCCCCTAGTCATGAGGTTTATGTAGTTATTTGTAACTTATGTATTATGTAACTTATTTTTGACCAAAGTACCAGACAGAACCTTATATTAATGAGATAATGAGATAATATAATCATGGCATGCTTGCAATTGTAACTGATGGTATTGCAGATGGTTCACAACTTTTATGTTTTAACATTAAAAAAATCAGTCTGGTTTTTAAAATATAAAAGCAAAGGCAAGGATGTGTTTTACATACATAAAAGCAATGTAGGGAAAAAAGCATTGTAAAACATGCAATCACTCACAGAGCATGTGCACATAACACACTGGTTGGACTGTCGGGATGGGAACAGATCGTGATTAGTGAACGTCTCGCCCATTTGGTAAGTGGTTCCATTGTAACGACAGGTTTTAACGGGAGCCCTCAAACCTGCAGGGGACCTCTGCTCATCTGTGCCAGAATACAGCGGTACACAGAAAATGGGAACATTAAAAAATATACATGAAGATCTATCTATCTATTCATCCATTCATTTACTGGTTAACTATCTATAGACAGCTAGACAGGCAGAAAATCAGATTACTAATAAAAGTGAAGAAGACTCTGTAACTTGTAATGTACTGCTCATTAATTTCCTCCTCTGTCTGATAATCAGTTCAGAGTTGCAGCATTTGTACACACAGTGCTAAACTCAAAGCCTTCCATGTATTATAATAATGTGAGTATAACTTGTCACTACTGAGATACGAACCATAAAATGACAGAGCCAGCTGAGACGAGGCGTCACATAAAACTAACCATGTCACATGAATAATATTAAAGGCATTCAGACGACTCCTATAAAAATCCTAATGGCGTCTGTGCTGCACGCGACATGAAGAGAGTCTCACTGTTTATCCAAGCAGCATTGCTGAAAACAGTCTATCATAGATAGATAGATAGATAGATAGATAGATAGATAGATATTAATGAGCAGTTACAGCATTTTCTTCAGTTTTATTAGTAATCTGAATTTTATACATTTTCATGTACATCTTATATTTTATTTGTCTGTCTGTCTATCTATCTATATATCTGTCTATAAAGAGTTAACCAGCTAATAGATAGATAGATAGATAGATAGATAGATAGATAGATGGATGGATGGGTAGACAGCCAGACAGATAGATAGATAGATAGATAGATAGATAGATAGATAGATAGATGGCTGGATGGATGGGTAGACAGCCAGACAGATAGATAGACAGACAGATAGATAGATAGATAGATAGATAGATAGATAGATAGATAGGAGGCATGGACAGATAGATAGATAGGAGGCATGGACAGACAGACAGACAGACAGACAGACAGACAGACAGATAGATAGATAGATAGATATTAATGAGCAGTATGGCACAAGTTACAGAGTCATCACTTTTATTACCAGTCTGATTATACATTGTCTCTTGTATTTTATAAGTTTGTTTCACACATCTATATAGATAAACAGATATCTTTCTTTCCATCTGTCTGTCTGTCTATAGATAGTTAACCAGTAGATAGATAGATAGATAGATAGATAGATAGATAGACAGACAGACAGACAGACAGATAGATAGATAGATAGATAGATAGATGGATAGACGGATAGATGGATACTTTTTTTGTAATCTGATAATACATTGTCTCTTGTATTTTATGTTAAAAGTTTGTTTCACATCTATATAGCTAAACAGATATCAATCAATCAATCAATCTATCTATCTATAGATAGTTAACCAGTAGATAGATAGATAGATAGATAGATAGATAGATAGATAGATAGATTTTGTGTGTGTGTGTGTGTGTGTGTGTGTGTACCTGCACAGCGTGGGCAGCACTGTTGTGAGTCGGTCACTGGATTGTCACAGCGCAGAGCTGGGCATTTGATGGGGTTACATTTCACATGGCCAGACTTGGAAGGATCAGAGATGCATGAGAGACAGACAGAAAGAATATGGAGACAAATCTAATCCATCTTACTCACACACACACACACTCACACACACACACTCACAAAGTATATCAATTTTAAAAAGTATTCACTGTAGCTAATTGGGAGTACAGTACATACTTCAGTGCAAGAACAGCGCATGCAGAACATGAAGCCAAACGGCTCTAGATAAGGATGCCAGCTGTCTCCTGGGCTGTAGGTCTTCTCCTTAAACGTGCACAACACTGCACATACGAGACACAAAATCAGCTCAGATATAACACTGAAACTCAGCACTGACGATTCAGCACTGAGGATCACAGCCTACCCGTCAGTGATGACTTTTATCAGAATTACCCTAATAAAAAAGTGCGCCTTGCATGATAAGGTGACAAAAAGAGCTTGATAAAGTCGCCAGGAATATTTCCGACACAAATACAGTGAAAGAGCCAACTGATCCTGACGCTCTGAAACTTAAGCCCAGCTCTGATGTTTCACAAGCAGCCCACAGAGACTAACATCTCACCATTCTCCCTCATGTACCGTCTGACACTTACTTTTTCGGCTTTGTGCTGCTTCTGTCTCACACCACACAACCCAGCGCATAGCAGCTAAAAGAAAGACTTGCTTCAGGTATGCCATTCTTCTCTTCCTAATCTCAGCTACTTCCAGTCAACAGGCAAAGTTAATATCCTTAACTTCTTTCTCTTCACTCAGTAACTGCGACAGCAGTGACTACCGGAGAGACTACTGCAGTCTGACAACACTCACAGCGTTTATAGAAAAGCGCCCCCTACAGGAAAACAGCCTGTTTTACACAAGTACCACGGGTAAACCTAGGCATCAAGACAATCTGCTTAAAAATATGATTTTAATTGCTATTTTTAATTTCACTTGAGTCCTGTGGATTAATAACTCGATTGAAAATGTAATAGACTGAAATCATATCACAAACATCATTTACAGTTATGGCATTTGGCAGTCACCTTTATCCAGAGTGACTTACATTGTACCTCATTTATACAGCTGAGGGCCTCACTCAAGGGCCCAGCAGTGCTGAGGATTGAACTTATGACCTTCTGATCAGGAGTCCAACGTCTTAACCACTGAGCTACATCAGAAGGAGGAACCACGTGATCTCAGTGACTTTCAAGTCAAGTCAAGCGAAGTTTATTGCCATTTCAACCATATACAGCCAGTTAGTACATAGTGAAACGAAACAACGTTCCTCCAGGACCAAGGTGCTACATAAGACAAACACAGAACAACACACAACTACAAGGGACTACATAAATTTATACATAAAGTGCACAAGTGCAAACATGTGCAGACAGCACAAGACAGTACAATGACTACTGGGATAGACAGTGGGCACAGTAAGTCCCAGTGCAGCGCCGACCAGTACACAGTTCTGTTTGAAAGTGAATCCAGTGAGAATAGTGCAAAGAGTACAAGAGTACAATATAAGTAAGTAGACTTTGTGGCATGGGTGTTGGTGCCAAGCTGTTTTGAGTGAGTCTCTAGGGTTTCTACAGAATAGGGTGAAAAACAAACAAACAAACAAACACTCAAACAAAAACCACTCAGTGAGCAGCAGTTCTGTGGGTGGAAACACCCTGTCGATGAGAGAGGTCAGAGTTGAAGACTGGTTCAAGCTGACAGGAAGGCTCTGGTAACACAGATAACAGCTCTTTACAAACGTGTTGAGCATAAAAGCATCTCAGAAGGCTTTGTCTAATGTTGTTGTAGCCCATCCACCTCATGGTTCAGAAAAGCAATGGGCGACATAGCATCTCAGAAACATCTCAGAAGGCTTTTCTGAACCTTTAGGTGGATAGGTTACAACAACATTGGGTTCCACTCCTGGAATCTAAGAACAGGGAGTTACAACTGGCACGGGCTCACCAGTAGTTAGTTAAAGACTGAAAAAAGACCCAGTGATGTACGAGTGCTAAAGGTGTTCCTATTTATCCTATGATTGTATAGAAAATCTCAAATATCTCACTAATGTAGTCTCCCTTACTTTTTATGCTTGGTGTTCCTCTCTCACACCCCATAAACCAATGCAATATAAAATAAGAACAAAAACGAGCCCTAAAGAGATGTCCTATTTTGGTCTATATTAAGTTCAAAATCTTATATATAGCCTCAAGTCAACTTTTCTGTGTCCTCAAAAGAAAAACCTTTCTCACTAGCCAAAATCTAGACATCTTTTTTTTTAATGTCTTTGAATGCATTTGCGCTCGCTGAGCCCTTGATTAAGCTGGAGACAGATCAAGTCATAACACTTCTCCTTGATGCTACAAACATTAGCTAACCGAGGTTATACACTTAACACTCAAAACACAAAGTAAGAAGACATGTTTATTTTTTTTAGTCAGAACAGGCGCCATGCCTATAAATGCACTCCAGTGATTAGAATAGAGATGAAAGAGCTTTGTTGAAGAGCTTTGATGAACAAAGCAGAACAGATAATTATAGATAGAAAAATAGATCATTTCTCCATTACAGTGGGTTTCAGTAAAGAAGTGGCAGCTTTGTGTTGAATTTTCATAAGTCAGAGATGGAAGTATGACTGCAAGAACCACCAATAAAGAAAGAATAAAAACTTGGGGACATGCTGTTATAGAAAAACAATCAACAACAAGTTGGTGTGATGCAACCTGATGTGAAGTTGAGTTACTTTTACCACCCTAAAGTTGATTATTTTCCTATGACAGTACATCCAGAAGTGTTTTATTCTGCCTATACAACAGCAATTTGCCAGCAATAAAAAAATTTGTATTCGTTGTAGAATGACATATCATACATTTTATCCATTTATAGTTACATTTGATGTTGTGGAACATCTGTGAAACAAGTTGCTGCTATCACATTATAGCAGCTATAAAGCAGTTTTTCTGTTACCAGGGTCTTTTTCCTTCTCTCTTGAAGTTAATTAGACAAAAAAAAAAAATGCAGCTTGTCATGTTATCAACAAACCACAAAATGAAAAGCAGCCTGCTTTGAAGAATATTCTGTCAGAAAACTTAAAGCTACTTTTCAATGGAGTAAAACATAAAGTTACAGCTTTACACCTAAATGTTATGAAGTACTGACACTAGAGACCTCTCCCAAAACTGTTAAATAAATGTGTCATCACAGAAAACATCACAGTATCAACAATTACACACATTTTTTAATTTGTTTATGTGGAGTATCTGCCATACAAGTCCATGTGTAGTTATTACTACAGACAAGATAATGTATTAGAAAGAGCACATTAAGAGAAAATGATTTGCTTTGCATCTGTCACTATTGTCTGCTGTTACAGAAAATTAATCAACACCTTGTGACACCAAGGTGTATCTGTCAGATCAAGAATTCAACAGCGCTGTGGTATAAATGAATTTGAAAAAAAGAAGTTGTTGGACCAACAAAATACACATAAAAGGCAAAGAAATGGTTTTACAGATCCCTGATTAAATTTTTTATTTATTTTAGTAGATTTTTCCCCCCATTGTTCCTTTTAATGATAGTCGCTCTCAATTTGTGCTGCTTGCTCCATTGATTTCAAGTGGATCATCTTGTACTTGCTCTTCATATCTTTCAATAATATCAGTGCCTTTTCATATTCATTCTTGTATATATCTTTGCCTTGAAGAACTTTCTCTGTGTAAAGAAATGGACAACAAGAATAATAAATAACAAATATAAATTCTGTATATGATCACACTACTTTATATAAAATAAGGTCTAAAATCAACAACTTTGTCATAACTGTTCCCTTGTTTTCTTGTAAGTACTGATGTCCAACATGTCTAATGCTCTCAGCGTAGCAAAATAGTAATAACAACTGTGCACCATGAATCCAGCTTAGTCCATCATACACTGTCTGCTCTGATAAGTGATGAGATAATAAAAGAACAGCTGCAATGCCAAACAGAGCACTTTCCAGTAAACCTATTTCTCAAGAGTTTCAACAGATCATCTCTGACTCAAGCATATTTATTATTGAATCGTGTTCAGTCTCCAGATCTGCCATGATTACATTTGTGTAACCTTAACTGACCAGGCCCGATGGTGCAACAAGATAAATATTCAACAACGTGGAGCATAAATGTTCTGACTCAACAAATTACAGTCCCTTCAGATAGTACTGGAACGGCAAGGCCAATTTGTTTTTACTATACACTGAAGACATTTGGGTTTGAGATCAGAAGATAAATATAACACAATAGATCAGAAATTCAGCTTTCATTTCTTGAGATTTACATCTAGATGTGTTAAATAACTTAGAACATGGCACCTTTCTTGTCAGACCACCCCATTTTTATGTGAGCAAAAATACTGGAACAGATATTTACTGTAATATACTTTAAGACTAAGACTTAATATTTGGTTGCACATCCTATGCTTGCAATAACTGCGTCATGCTGGCAACCCACAGAAATCACCAAACTGTTACATTCTTCTATTGTGATGATTTTCCAGGCTTCTACTACAGCTTCTTTCAGTTGTTTTCTGATTAAGCTGGAGACAGATCAAGTCATAACACTTCTCCTTGATGCTACAAACATTAGCTAACAGAGGTTATACACTTAACACTCAAAACACAAAGTAAGAAGACATGTTTATTTTTTTTAGTCAGAACAGGCGCCATGCCTATAAATGCACTCCAGTGATTAGAATAGAGATGAAAGAGCTTTGTTGAAGAGCTTTGATGAACAGAGCAGAACAGATAATTATAGATAGAAGAATAGATCATTTCTCCATTACAGTGGGTTTCAGTAAAGAAGTGGCAGCTTTGTGTTGAAATTTCGTAAGTCAGAGATGGAAATATGACTGCAAGAACCACCAATAAAGAAAGAATAAAAACTTGGAGGCATGCTGTTATAGAAAAACAATCAACAACAAGTTGGTGTGATGCAACCTGATGTGAAGTTGAGTTACTTTTACCACCCTAAAGTTGATTATTTTCCTATGACAGTACATCCAGAAGTGTTTTATTCTGCTTATACCACAGCAATTTGCCAGCAATTAAATTTTTTTATTCATTTTAGAATAAACTCGTTGTTTGTTTGGGGGGGAAGGTTCTCCCTTCTGTCTCCTCTTCAGGAGGTGAAGTGCATACCTTCACCTCTGCCCTGTGGAGGTAGTTGGTGATGTCACTGACTGACTGACTGTTGTTTTTGGGTTTTTCTTCACAGCTCTCACAATGTCATTTCTGTCATCAACTGCTGTTGTTTTCCTTGGCTGACCTGCTCTATGTCTGGTTGTTAGTACACCAGTGCTTTCTATCTTTTTCAGGACATTTCAAATTGTTGTATTGGCTATGCCCAATGCTTGTGCAATTGCTGCTGTTATAGAAAATTAGTCAACACCATCTGTCCAATCAAAATTAAGAATTCAACAATACTGTGGTATAAATAGTTATATTCAATCTAATGTATGCAAAATGCCTGAACCCCAACCTGCAAACAAAACAATAAACTGGCAACAGGAGTTTAAAAGTAATCCGATTCTTCAGGAAAACTACAGATACTGAAGAAATACTGAAGCTTACCCAAAGGGACTTCACTTATTGTTTTCCTTTCCTTCATTTCTGTGAGAATTTCTTTAACTTTCTCTCCTTTTGGTTTTTGTGGTTTTGCAGGAAGCAAATTCCTTGTCTGGAAAAAGAATAATTTTACTTTGTCAGAACAAACAAGCAAACAGAAAACCTTAAATCATTAATGCTAGTTGCACTGATTATTCATATCACTTTTTATTTAACAGCTGACTATAGTTAATGGAGCTAAAACATACACAATGTTCTCCTAATTGTAGTCAATCAGCCAACACATGTTTGGTGTCTGAAGTTTGCTTCTTTAGTTGTGCACTAGTGCTACAATCCTAATGTAGATAACAATAAAGGGGAAGCTTAGAAAGACTTGAGCATCATTCAGACTGAATATCTAACTCATCACACCAGCACCTCAAACCATGGAAAGTCATGTCAAATGAACTTCAGTGTGAAACTGTATTATATCATTATTATTATCACCATAATGCCATGCTATGGTCTATATTTTCATCAAATTATCAAGCACCAGAGTTCAACCCAGCTTGAGTTCATATAAACTGAAGATGGAGGAGCTAA